GGTTACTTTTTTTAATATGAAAATTGGGGTCTTTTTTTAAATCAGAGAAAACCAGGATCCTTGGTGAATCATTCAATACATGAGAGCCAATGATGAGGGAATGAACCAGAACTGTATAGTAGAAGAGGCTGCTGTATAGAGTAGGGATCAGTAACCTACACCCTGCAAGGATTCATCCAGTCTACAAAGAAATTTTTTGCATCACATCAAGCATGCCAAAAAATCCTGGGCCCCCAGGTGTCACCTTGCTCTTGCTACCATGCATGGAGCCCCCATAGCCTCCCCTTAGCCACTCTCACCTGTGGCTCCAAACCAGGCCCAGTGGTGTGAATGGCCAGGAGTGTCCTCACAGTTTTAGATCGGGTGAGTCAGAGCTGCTCAGACCCTGCTGACCTGTCAGAGCTCTTACAGCTCCCCTACCCTGCCCAACATTTCCAAGACAAATGGAATTACCAGTGACATTTGCACAGTCTTGCTTCCCTCACTTCCCACTGGATGGGGAACTACACCCCACCAAAGCACTGCACCCTGGGAGCTATAGTCCAGCCCACCTTAGAACCAAGTTTTGTTAATCTGGTCTGCTGTTATAGGGCGCTGACCCCTGGTCTAAAGGACCCCTTTATCTTTTGCTGCGTAAGTTAGAAAATACATAGTGATGTAACAAAAGGGGTCTGAAAGACCCCACGAGCAAGACCCAGAACCCCACAGGGGCTGAACAAGCCCCCAATAAAACACAAAACTGACCCTGGGAGCAGGAAGCAGCAGGGCAGCTGTTAACAAGCTGGGTGGCACTGGGCTGATGATGTCAGCCCCCAGTGCTGCCACAGGAGATTGAAAAGACACCCGGAGTGCCAGAGAGGTGAGTGGAGAGCCTGCCCCTGTGCCAGTTAAGGTAGACGCAGGCGCAGGACACTGAGGCAGAGAAATGTTGGAGTCCTGGGGCTCAATGTATACTGAGAAGTATAGGCTCCATGCTCCCAAGGCTAGGGAGTGAAGCCTCATTTACTAAACAAAACCCAGCAGCTTAAGCGAGCTGGGTGTGTTGCCAGCAGGCTAAGACCATTGTAGGCAACCATCATAGAAATTAGGTTCCTCTTCATTTCTTTCTTTTTTTGGCTTTTTTTCCTTTTCTTTTTTTTTTTTTTTTTGAGAGAAGGCCACCTAGGACCGGTGGAGTTCTAAGATCTGGCTTTAAGCTCAAGATTAACCTCTTGTCAGCAAGGGAGCAACAGAGTAATCCAGACAAGACTAGGAAATGCCTTTAGAATTTCCCCTTAGGTCAAAACCCAGATCAAGCCAGGGTCCCACATCAGTCCATTGTCTCAACACCAATGGCTGGCTTGTGGCTGGGGGTGTAGGGGAGGTGGAGTCCCTTCATCAGACACTCTCAGATCTGTGAGTAACCCCAAGTGGGACCCCTGTGTTGAACAACATTGAACCCCTCCTATCAAATTGTGTATTGTCAAAGTCATGACAGGAGAGTTGAGGGGAGGCCTATCTTGGTGGGGACTCAAGAAAAACCCACCCTTGGATAATCGGGAGCATTACAAGTGAACAATGCAAGGGAGCTCCATGAAGAAACAGGAAGGTCTCATAGTTCAACATGCGGAATGTTGCCTTGTAGAATTCCTTGTATTTTTTCGTCCTACTGCCCCACAAATGTTATGCTGGGAGAAACAGTAGTCACTAGGCATGTTCAGACATTACCCTATGGCAATGTTGCTACTGCACCATGCTTTAGTACTTCCAAAAGCACAGCACAGTAACTGTTCATACTGTACCATACATGTGGCGCACAGTTATTTTTAGCAGCTACTTCACTGTAGTGGCATGTTATAATGGGAGAGCATGCCACTACAGCAAAATAACTGCTGGTCACATGTAGATACCAGATGCTACGTTGCCATAGCACATCACTACAGCAATACAGTGTCATGTGTAAACACACCCACTAATTTCCCAACTTGAGATCTCACATCATATTAGCAGAAACTCTGAGCACTTTGAAAAACCACTGGAGATAATGAAACTGTGCTCTGGTATCTAAAAAGTGCTAAATTCTCTGAAAAAATAGGCCACAGGCTAATTAAATCAGGGCTCTCAACTTACTGTACATTTTGTATCTCTGTCTCATCTTCACACTTCTTTGACCCACCTCTGTCTTGCAAAAATAAATTAGTCTGTGTTGGTTAAACACCAAGTTTCTATAGCAATGAGTTCAAGAGAATTAAGGAAATTGATAATTCTTCATTCAGAGAAGGTCTGAAGGGAGCAGAATAAATAAGGAGACACGCATAGAACAATAAGGGGCTAACAAAACATGAACACTGGTCCTTAACTGAGCACCACCCAAGCTGTGCACAAAATGGAGCAGGGGACCTTTTGGACAGGCAAACATGAAATACATAATTAAAGACTGTTCCATAATGTCTTAGTGTACACAGGGTCTTAGATTTAAGGTTATATGTGCATCCTTAGTTTGGATAACTAACTTCTTAGTGCTCGACTTAAAAAAAAACCATTAAAAGAATTTAAGTTTGCAAAGTCATAGATGCTTAACAAAGACCAATGTATGCCATGTGATTTATACATACATGTAAGTGCACACCATGCAGACTAATCTGGCAGCTCAAGATATTTATCATTTAAAACTCTAGATATATATTATTTTAAATCCCAAGTAATAAAACACTGAACATAAGGATTTAGAAGTGAAAAGCTGACGGATCTTTAACTAAAGCAGAGCGTATTGGGCTGGCTCCAATGCTGACTATGCTAACCTGTGAAAAATAACCTGTAGAGATAAATTTAAACTTAATTAGCACATCTTCAAATTACCCGTTCTGCTGTTTCAAACAGAGCAGCAGCTTCTGCCTTGCCCACTTGTTGCACCATCTTGTAAAACAGGCTCTCTCTCTCTTGTAACAGAATGTATGGCTCATCGTATTCTTTCAGTCTTCCTGCATCCAAAACCTGTTAATCAGCAGAAACAAATCTATGAACACATGAAATTCTGAAACAGACATTACCCTAAAGATTACAATACAAAGGATGGTGGCTGGATTTTTTTAAATATGTACTCTGATTTACTGTTAAATAAAGGACAGAAAATTGAATACCTGAAGGCCCTTTATTGGGGGTGGTAGTACATTTTCTTTTCTAGACTATTTGTACTATTTTCTAGGGTCCTACAGTCACATTATTAGTTATATGAATGCAATCAGAAATTCTTCAGGATATGGTAATTCATTAATGAAGCAAATTAAGTGGCTAATAAACTGTATGATTAATTTTGTAATAAGAAAATTAGGATGGCATACTGATAGTGAACCAAAGAGTCAATACTGAAGGTATTTAAAAAAATCCTTGTTGCTTGGTTTAAGTGCATTAGGAACAGGAAAGGTGCAACAGAACAGCTGGGCCTTTTGGGCTTCAGGGTGGAAGTGCAATTAAAAAAAGACATTGCTGAAAAAGTAAATTATCTCTTTCATTAGTCTTCACTAGAGAATATTGTAAATCACTAGGACTAGACGATACAGGCTCATGAGTTTTAAAAAATGCAATAATAAAGTGACTGAGCTGTTGGGAAAGATGTTCATTCTCGCATTTAAATCAGTCAGTCTGTTGAAGAACTGGAGAATATCAAAGTATATAAAAAACTGTACCTATATTTAAATAAAAAGGTGTAAGAGGTGATTTGGGAAATTTACAGATCAATAAGTCTCAATCCTTTACCTGCAATTTGGTTAAAATTATAACAGAAATATTAAATATGTGGTAGATCATGATATGATAACATTTACTCACAATTCAATTTTGTGAAAGAAAATTACACCTCACAAGTTTACCAGAATAAGTGAATGGGACAGCCAATAAGAAAAGAACAATTTAATAATTTTTTTGGACTTTGAAAAGGCAACTGAAGTAACAAAAATAGCTATGGTACAAAAGAAAAAAATCTAAATGAATAAGAAACTAAGACAGAAAACATAAATGGACAATTTTCACACTGGCAAAAGTCTAACAGATGGGAGCCACAAATACTAGGACCATAAGTATTAATCTTCAGGAAAAGGCATCAAATAGCAAGGTGGCAAAACCTACAGATGATGGAAAAGTATTTAAGTTTAGACCAAGGAAGACTTCAGATAAACCTACCCAAGCTAAAATAAATGAGCAATACAATGGTAAATGAAAGCCAAAACTAACAAATGTGACAATATGCATTATTTTAATTAATCATACACTTTATGGGATTCTAAATTAACAGCAGTTAATAGCAATTAACAGACTTAGGAAAGAAACACAGGCATCATAGTGGGAAATCTGAACACTGTTTTAAGTGCAGAGCAGTCACTGTCAAACCAAGGCTAGGCACAGACATTCAAAAAGCCTGAGGTGGAAGTGATCTAACTTACGTGTTTTACTCTCAGCACCCTAGGTTAGATTGCTACCAAATAGAATGGATGCTTGGCCTTCAGTGAAGAGGGCAACACAGGCTACATGCACTGGCTGAGGCCAGCAGGTTGGGGGCTCCCCACTGCTGAGTATAGCCAAGTGCAGCCCCGTTACAGGGCCACCCCTGATTGGCTGCTGGGCAGGGTCGAGCACACCTTCTCCCACTACTGGCACCTGTCAACTGCAGGCAAGCTATGGAGGCAACTAGGCTTCCATACCCTGCAGCCAAGTTTGCTATCTGGCACTGCACCTGCTCATGGGTGCATGGGAAGGCTCTGAATGGGCTTCTGCATACTGATCCAGGGCCTCCCCATGCACCCACAAGTAGGCACAGCACCAAAGAGCCCAACTAGGCTGTGGGGCACAGAAAAGCACCCTTCCCCCATTAGCAGGGATCCTGGTTTTCTCTGATTAAAAAAAATCCCCAATTTTCAGGTTACAAAAAGTAACCCCAAACCCACATTTTTCCGGGATCAAAATGAAACACCACTAATACATAGATATACGTATAGTGGTATTTCATTCTGATCATGGAAAAATGTGAATTTTGGGTCACTTTTTTAACCAGAAAATTGGGGATTTTTTTTAATCAGAGAAAACCAGGATCTCTGCCCATCAGCAACAGCCTTAGGCATCTGCAGCCGGTCTGTTCCCTGGCGCTGTGACTGATCATGGTGCATGGGGGGGGCAGAGTGGCTCCTGCACATCCACCCAGGGACCTACATGCCCTGTGAGTGGGCACAGAGCCAAGGAGCTTGACCAGGCTGTGGGGCACAGAGGAGCACCCTTACCACTCCCCCATCAGCTTGGGAGCACCCTTACCACTCCCCCACTGTGCTGACTTGGCTCTGAGAGAGCTTGGGGACAGAGCAGCCAAGGGTGGGCTGCAATGGCATCTCCCTAAGAGCGGGAGGCTAGTGGTGGGCCACAAATGCCTCACATGCTAGTAGACTGTAATTTGAGTTGGGAGGGGATCTAGTACAGAAGTTCAATAGACCATTCTAAACTAACCTGCTTAAGTCTGATGCTACTTCCATCTAGGTCTATCCTGGACTGGGTTCTGCCATTTTTAAACCAGTCTATGTTTGGTTAACTTCTGTTGTATTACAGGTTTAGATTGATTTCTGATCACTAATACTGGTTTATATGTAATGTCTGTACCTAGCCCAAATGTTCAGATACATAAGGAATGAGACAAAACCATGCAGAAAATATTTTTTCATACAATAAGCCCTTGGTATGGCCAGCACCAGGAAAGACCATCAGAAACATTTTCTTGAGATGAAGCATTTCTACAGAACCATACTAGATATTTTTTAAAATGGGTCATATAATAATGGCCTTTACATAAAACTTATTTTTTTATTTTTACTTTAAATCCACAACAAGGCTATATAGTTTCTTACTTAAAATACAGAAACATACACTAAAATCAGCATTGATATAGCTGAAACAGAGGAGACACAGGAACAGGCAATAAGAATGATTGGGAAGCTTGGAAAAATGTATGTGGACATTTTTTTTTAAACCCAAGATTGTTATACACCCTTCCCACATAAGGATACATCAGATGCATACATATGCCCATGAGTGGCTACAAAGTGTAAATGGAAAAATTTTGATATTATATGATATACAAATGGGTCTTAATGTATACTAAATATTCAAAGAATGCCACCTATGCCATTTAAGGGCACATATGGAGACATCTCAGTATACTTAGCACTATCCTATTTAAGGATAAATTGCACATGTAATTGTCTTTGCAATCTTTCAAATATTTTATTTATATATTATTTATATTACATATGAACACAGAGAGCAAGTCATAGTTAAAAACAGCTTTCTTAAGGATTCAAAGGTAACTATTATACGTACTACCTACATAATCATTAAAATATCCTATAATTTTGCATTCCATATTAGGCATCTTGAACACGATGTGGGTTTTTTCACTAAGTATAGCATTGCAGCATGTAAACATCCCTTGTGAAATTAAAGAAAAAGCGCATTCTCTAAATATGCATCTTTCATGTGGAATGCGACAGAGAAAAGAAAGGTCCCTGGTTTACTACTCCTAATGCTATTTTTAACTATAATTTTAATATTGTTTCATATTATATTATATTAATAAAATATTGTAATGTAAATTGCATTTGTACTTTATAAGTATTTAAATTATGCAGGGAGGTGTTTAGCCACGTTAGTTTGAAGTTAAGCAGAAGGTAGGGCAGGGTAGCACCTTATAGACTAACTGGTTCAGAGAGTCAAGCGTGCATGAGAACAACTGAAGCCTGGAGAGGTAGCATATTTTGACTTTGTGTAATGCTATACCTATGTAAAACTGCTTTTTACTATTATGAAATTCAGATTTTGCTAATGAGGCATAGAACTTTGAAAAATGCAGAAAACCAACCAGCCAACAGTAACTGGAAGCAAAGTATCTCCTCCAACTGGAGGGGAGAAGCCTACTCCATTTTTCTTTTATAAATTTTAACTGGGCAAATTAGCAGAATCTCAGCAGAGGAGGGGAGAACATGGGCATGACTAACATGAAAAGCAATGTTTGTATTTAACATATACAATTTTAAGTACACATTCTCCTCCAATCTTGAGGAAAAAGCACCTGAATATAGTACAAAATGGAAGACAAGGTCAATAGAATAGAAAAATGTGTAACTTTTTTAAAAATCACAAAGGAAAAAACCAAGGCAATACTATACATAAGGCAATATTTTAAGTTATTTTCAGAGGGTCCATTATTCTTTGTTTATTAATGTGGGGGATCCCCTGTCAGTTGCTCTGATTGATGAAGTAGTGGGTACAGCTTATGGTAGTGGTTTTGGCTTACAAGTATGCCTGAGATGTACTCATTTGAAAAGACCACCTTTCCTTGAATACTATACTATTGATGTAATTGAATTCATCAGTTATTGGTGAAGCCCTGTTGATATAAACAAATGAGCTAGGGACAGACATTCAAGAACCCTGAGCCTGAATTGATTCAATATTTGCCAGTTAGTCTAACCTGCAAAGTTTGAAGTGATTTGGAGATGGATAAACATTCCTTTTTCATTCCAGAAATGCAGGCACATGCCTGCAGTGGCTCAGAGTAGACTCCAGGTGGTGCTAGAGCAGCCCTCCTTTTCCTTTCACAGAGCTGAAGGCGAGGGGGGCAGGATGCTCTGATTATCGCAGCAGGGAATTGATAACAGTGTTTATCACCCCTAACTCAGTGTTTATCACCTCATTAAGAAAACAAGAGAGGGACATTACCAGCTACCTGCTGATTCTGCCTTTGTCATACCATGGACTGTAGCCAGCATGTGGTCTGCTAGCTAATACACACATACCTCTCAGCAAGACAGAGGGAAGAGGGAGATTCCTGCTTAGCAGGGAGTGTGTGGAGGGGGGTGTGGAGCAGAGAGTCCTGCCCAGCCCAGAGAGCATGCCAGGATGCTGGGGAAGTCTGGCTTTACTCAGCAAGGGGTCTGGGACAGATATAGCATAAACCA